ACTGCCATGTGATTGGTTGATTAGATAATTGCATTAATGAGAAATTGAACAGGTGTTCCTAATAATCCTTTAGGTGAGTGTATATACATACATAAGAGTATGTACAGGTACTAATATAAATAGTCAGAGAATGTGGAATATGATACAGAAGTGGAAATATATACATATTTAAGAGAGTGCATGCTTGTACTAGGATGGGGAAATAGTATTTGAGCGAGTGTTCCTGGCCTTATTGATGAGGCGGGCTGCAGTGGGGAAGAAACTGTTCCTATGGCGTGTTGTTTTGGTCCCAATGGACCACAACCTTCTGCCAGAGGGGAGAGTCTGAAGGTTCTGTGTTGTGGAGATTCTCAGGATGTACTGCAGGTGTTTATCAGTGAGATGACTCCTGTGTGATGTTTTGTTAATCTTCATCATAGAAAACAGCTTCTCACACAGATATGTGCTACAATACATACACAAGGTTCGAGCTGCATGTAGACGGAGCTGGGGCATTGCTTCAGGAATGAAGCGAGTGAATGGTGCGGGCCCCACAGTGTCGTACTTTGCCTTTAGTGTCCCATTACACTGCAGCTCTATCAGCTCCATCTGAATCTGTAGCGGTGCAGTTTCCACGTCGATGGCAAAATGGGTTGCGAAGCAGCTCGAAATTACTTTTCTGTGCTTCAAAGTCACCAAAACACTGTGCAAGCTCAGTGTGAAGTGCGCTCAGTTTATCAGCAAAGTGTGCATTTGGGAACACCGTGGCGCTGACTTGGTTCAACATTACCTGGCAACAGGGAAAGTGAGACAAGTTGCATGGGTGTACTTGTGTCTCCCATAAGTGCAGCTTCACTTGAAATGCCTTTTCACTGCATCATACATATCAGTGATCATGCAGTCCCATCGCTGGAGCTGAATGTTTAAGACGCTAAGATGAGTAGTTATGTCAGCCAGAAATGCCAACTCACATTTCCACTTTTCATCCCACAGAACTGTGGAGTCTTTTCCTTTACTGTCCATGAACTGACAGATTTCCTCGCCCAGCTCAAAAACTCTATTAAGAACTTTTCCCTGACTTAGCCATTGGACCTCTGTATGATAAGGCATGTCGCCAAACTCTGAATGTATTTCCTGCATAAAAGACTGAAATTGGTGGCAATTTAAACATTTGGCTCTGATACAGTTTACGGTTTGTGTTACAGTGCTCATTACATTGTCCATCTTCAGGACTTTGCCACATAGTGCTTCCTGGTGTATGATGCAGTGATATGCTGTCAACTCACCAGTACAGTTCTCCTTCTCCATTTTTAACTGCATCCTTCCCACTAGTACACTTTTTTCACCACACATCGCTGGTGCTCCATCTGTTGTAAGTCCAACAAGTTTGTCCCAAGGCAGTTTCATGTCGGTTACACTGACATACGTTTTCAAAAATGTCTTTTCCTGTCATTGTCCCGTGCATGGATTTAATGTTCAATACTTCCTCTGTAACGCAGAAACCGGAGTCCACTCCACGGATGAATATGGCCAGCTGTGCAGTGTCAGACATGTCAGTACTTTCATCCACAGCAAGGGAGTATCCAACAAAGTCTGGATACTTTTTGTCTGGACACAAGACGTCGCAAACTTTCATCATGCAGGTCTTCAGAAACTCTCCTTTGGTAAATGGCCGGGCTGAGTTGGCTCCTCTACCACAATAAAACATGCTTTCACAGCAGCTTCACTTTGTGATTTCGCTTTGGTGAAAAACATCTGCTGTGATGTCAGATTTCTCTTCAACTCCTCTACCTTCTGTAGCTTCTACTCTGCATTCAGGTTTTTCAACTGGTCCTGATGTTTTGTCTCATAGTGCCGTCTTAGATTAAATTCTTTAATTACAGCCACATTAGCTCCACAAATAAGACATGGGTTTACCGGCAATGACAGTAAACATATACTTAGCCTCCCACCAGTTTTGAAAGGCTCTATTTTCAGAATCAACTTTTCTCTTGGCCATTGTCAGGGGCTAGCATTGACTTGAAATTAGGGTTGTATACAACAACAGATGGTTGATTGATCTGACGTAATTGACGCAGGAATGATCACAGGTAGCCTATCGTTTGGTAATACAGATGTTGCATTACGGGATTTGTAGTTTATGTGTTATTGGCCAGGCCAATAACACATAAATATATATATATATATATATATACACACACACACACACACACACATATACAGTACTGTGCAAAAGTCTTATGTTTAAATTATCCTTGTGTTGGTGTAAAACTATGATATTATTCCTGTTGAAGTGTGTCAGCTTAGCCTTTTCAAAACCTCTGCTAAAATCATCCTAGTATTTGCAGCAACCGTCCAGTGCAGCCATGTATTTTTTGACTTGGTCACTAGCACACCCTATACAGCTAGTCAATCTGTCACTGACTTTTGAAACCAGTTTATTTAATTATTTAATTGAGCTGTTGGTGAAATTTAACAAAATCATGGATCGGCTGAGGTGCCCCTGAGGAGAGGTTAGGGAACTGAGGCGGTGATCATCTAGCCATCCAACTAGATATCTGTAACTTTTTCGAAAACAGAAGAAATTATTATTAGTTTTTATTGAATGTTTTTCAATATGTTTTATTAAACATTTTGTATTATAAAGTTCTGGATCACATTTTCATTTGATACTGTGCTCAGCAATCAGCAAATATTTACATGTTTAGCCTATAATAATCTCTGCCATAAATACTGTGCATAATAAATAAGCATTTAAGTTTCATTTTTTCATTTAAGTTTCATTTATAGTTTAAAGAAGTATCATTTATACTTTACTTTTGTTTCTTTAATCTGAGCCTTGTTACAGTAATTGCCAAGTATTCTGTAAATCAAACAAAAGTAACTCTGATCCAATTGATGACATATTTGTTTTAAGGCAGCATTACTTTGGCTCAATACCTTGTTATGGTAAATTCAAATGTTTATTTGCTGCTGTACTGAGCAAATAGCAAATATTTACATGTTTAGTTTATAATTATCTCTGCATTAATACAATGCATAATAAAAAGTGTTTAATTTTAATTTTTTAAAAAAAAACAACGTATATTTGACTGCACTGTGTTTTAATTCATTCTAAGTATCACGTCCGACTGTTGGGCGAGCGAGCAAGGAGTCAGGATTAGGCAGCAGAGATGCAGGAAACGGGGGTTATTCAGGACAAACAGGCAGAGAAGGTAAAACACGGAAAGGACTTCAATGACGGAACTGGGGATACAAAGTCTGACGTGGACTTAAATACACAGAACTACTCAGAAATAACACGAAACAGCTGAACACAATCAGAAATTGACATGGGGTAATGAGGGGGACGTAGCACACGGAAGGATCGTACGAGCAGGTCATGACAGTAAGCATTATTAATTTTAAGAAGTAAATTTAATGTTATTATATCAGTGTTATTTAACTGAAATAGAGGTTTTCAGGTGTGGATTAAAATATCTGATGGGATCCTTACCTATCTGCTCAGGGGGGCTGCTTCCGGCTTCAATTAACATTTTCAAGTCGCTTAAGCAAGTCTGATGATCTGCCTCTGCTCTCTGAGCCCAGCCTTCAGCAGTCCACTGGTCAGCAAACTCCGGCAAAGTAATAACAACCTCATTCTTTTTAAAATCAATGTAAAGCATCTCATCTCCATCCAGCTCTGCCATTTCCTCAGGATCAGTGTCATTGGTCTTGCAGGCAGTAACATCTATATCTATATGAGCTGAGAGAGAACCAGGTAAAGTACATCAGTCACTCATTTCCTGGATTTAGTGCATATGCTGTAAAAATGCAGTTGTTACGTGGTAAATTTCCTGCACTGCTTCTTTATTGTCACAATAAATGCGTAATGAAAAGACAGAGCATTTCTTTGAATACTGTGTGTGTGTGTATATATATATATATATATATATACACTCACCTAAAGGATTATTAGGAACACCTGTTCAATTTCTCATTAATACAATTATCTAATCAACCAATCACATGGCAGTTGCTTCAATGCATTTAGGGGTGTGGTCCTGGTCAAGACAATCTCCTGAACTCCAAACTGAATGTCAGAATGGGTAAGAAAGGTGATTTAAGCAATTTTGAGCGTGGCATGGTTGTTGGTGCCAGACGGGCCGGTCTGAGTATTTCACAATCTGCTCAGTTACTGGGATTTTCACGCACAACCATTTCTAGGGTTTACAAAGAATGGTGTGCAAAGGGAAAAACATCCAGTATGCGGCAGTCCTGTGGGCGAAAATGCCTTGTTGATGCTAGAGGTCAGAGGAGAATGGGCCAACTGATTCAAGCTGATAGAAGAGCAACTTTGACTGAAATAACCACTCGTTACAACCGAGGTATGCAGCAAAGCATTTGTGAAGCCACAACACGCACAACTTTGAGGCGGATGGGCTACAACAGCAGAAGACCCCACCGGGTACCACTCATCTCCACTACAAATAGGAAAAAGAGGCTACAATTTGCACGAGCTCACCAAAATTGGACAGTTGAAGACTGGAAAAATGTTGCCTGGTCTGATGAGTCTCGATTTCTGTTGAGACATTCAAATGGTAGAGTCAGAATTTGGTGTAAACAGAATGAGAACATGGATCCATCATGCCTTGTTACCACTGTGCAGGCTGGTGGTGGTGGTGTAATGATGTGGGGGATGTTTTCTTGGCACACTTTAGGCCCCTTAGTGCCAATTGGGCATCGTTTAAATGCCACGGCCTACCTGAGCATTGTTTCTGACCATGTCCATCCCTTTATGACCACCATGTACCCATCCTCTGATGACTACTTCCAGCAGGATAATGCACCATGTCACAAAGCTCGAATCATTTCAAATTGGTTTCTTGAACATGACAATGAGTTCACTGTACTACAATGGCCCCCACAGTCAGCAGATCTCAACCCAATAGAGCATCTTTGGGATGTGGTGGAACGGGAGCTTCGTGCCCTGGATGTGCATCCCACAAATCTCCATCAACTGCAAGATGCTATCCTATCAATATGGGCCAACATTTCTAAAGAATGCTTTCAGCACCTTGTTGAATCAATGCCACGTAGAATTAAGGCAGTTCTGAAGGCGAAAGGGGGTCAAACACCGTATTAGTATGGTGTTCCTAATAATCCTTTAGGTGAGTGTATATATTACCCATGACTCAGATCACCGATTCTCAAACTACGGTACGCATACCAATGGTGGAACTTCAAGCGCCCTCTGGTGGTACGCAGACTTATATCCTTTCATGACGTCGCCACCACATTTTCTGAGGTAGTACGAGGTGTGAACTGTGAAACCCACTGACTTAGATATTAAAGCTTCCAACACAGAATTATTCAAAAGAAATGACAAAATGCTATAAAATGTATTATAAGTCTGAAAACAGAGAATTGTCTAGTTATCTGATAACAATTATTAAGCGTAATTCTATCCTATAACAATTATACAGGCATCATTTATATTTTAAGAAAAAGTAGTCTGAGCTTTGTAGCAGTAATTGCCAAGTATTTTGTCAATCAAACGAAAGTAACTGATCCAATTGATTACATATGTTTTAAGGCAGCATTACTCTGGTTCGGTAACCTTGTTTAGGTAAATTCAAATGTTAATTGTTTGTTTATTGTATAATTATCCCACTCCATCCTACTCCAACAATGGCCGGCTGAGATTCCTCCACTTTTAAGCCCTGGATAAATTATACAGACTTTATTCAGATTAAATAGTGCTACTTCATATGTAACTTTCTTATTCATATGTTACATTTAATTTATTACATATGTTACATTTAAAATTTTAAAAATGTAACCCATTCATTTTAAAACAAAAATACGCAAACATAAAAATTTAACGATTAAGTACAGGGGGCAGAAATCATCACTTACCTTCAACCGTTGCACAGATACATAGGCCTCCCAAAAGCATAAAGAGTGAAAAAATGTGACTCATTTTCAGTCGCAAATTTACACGCTGAGCTCTTGGTTGCAGACAGTACTTATCAAACCGCAGCACCAGGCCCTACACACTGAATAAGTTACCAAGTGAAGAAACGCCTTCATCCCACCGAGCGAAGTCACACCCCTAATGACCAATTAGAAAAGCGGAATAATTTTCACTGATGTTACTAGGTAAGACTCTTTAGTTAACCAAACTTTCAGAATGATTTCAAAATACACTCCATAGACTGCAGTGATACGGCACTGTTGTGTTTTGGTTCCCACACTACATGATTTTGTTTTCACTTTGTTATTCTTTTATTGGCGTTTTGCTGTTTTCCTGTTATACAGTGCTGGGTGGCATATGTCTTTGCTGTTTTACTGTGTCCTGAGACGAATGGTCTCTCATTTGTAAATTTTTTATGTTCTCATGATTTTGTTGTCATTTTGTTGCTCTTGTATTGCCATTTTGTTGTTTTTGTGTTATACAGTGCTTTGTGACTTTTTGTCTGCTATTTTACTGCATCTTGAAATCTTAGTTACATATACATGTGAGTGCTTTCTCTTGGCAGTGAACTTTACATACTGTTATGTAGAGCCTTGCAGTGTTGAAACTGGTGTCTTTTACATGAAGAAGTATCAGTTTGCTGAGAAAAAAGATTGGCCACTGGCAATAAAAAAGTGGAAACCAACTATCAGTCTGAATCATGGAGCTCAGGACCATACTTACATTGAGATTTTGACAATATATCTAAATATTTTGGCTCTCATGGTTAAAACGATACAAATAGTACATTTAATTCTGTTGGCACTGACATCAAATTTATTGGTGGAATAATTTTTTTGAGACATCAAAAAATATTAGTTGGTACAATTAATCGCTCCGTCTATGACGTCATAAGCGGGAGGGGGCGTATCCCTTATTCGGATTGGTCGAGGGGTTACATCCATATACAGTATCATATACTGTATGCTTATGCCACATGTTGCTGATAGGGGGCCATATGGTTCGGGAGATAAGGGTAGCCGTTAAACTTTAATAGAATTAAAATTACATGTATTTATTAATGTGTTATTTTTAAATACATTTTAGGGAATAATAAAACATATAGCAGGATGTGTCACGTTCGGCGGACGGGCGAACGAGGAAGTAGGCGAGAGTGTCGCCGGGTGTCATGAGGGAAGTCCCCGAGGGGTCCCGCTCGAGCTCCTCCTCCTCCAAGGAGGAAGGAGTGGTAGTCAGACTGTCTGGGACCTCCTCGGGGACTGGGACCCGGGCTGGGGGGACTGGAGTCAGGGCCTCCAGTGAGGTAGCAGGCGGTGCAGCCGGAGCCGCGGGCGTGCCGGGCTGGACAGGCAGGTCGGGCTGAACGGGCGAGCTGGGCTGGACAGGCAGGACGGGCTGGACAGGCAGGACGGGCGAACCGGGCTGGACAAGCAGGACGAGCGAGCTAGGCTGGACAGGCAAGCCGGGCTGGACAGGCGATCCGGGCAGGGCCGCGGGCAGAGCGGTGGCGTCAGGCAGGGCCGCGGGCAGAACGGCGGCGTCAGGCAGGGCCGCGGGCAGAGCGGCGGCATCAGTAGGCACCTCAGGTGTGCGGCCAGCAGGGGGCGCCTCAGCGGGCACCTCGGGCGTGCGGCCAGCAGGGGGCGCCTCAGCGGGTGCCGCCGACACGTGGCCAGCAGGGGGCGCCTCAGCGGGTGCCGCCGACACGTGGCCAGCAGGGGGCGCCGCCAACACGTGGCCAGCAGGGGACACCTGGGGCAGCGGTGATGCTGTAGGCGACGCCGGGACCTTGAACGGTGCTGCGACCGTGGCGACGGAAGCAGGCTGTGCGGTGGGCAGAGCAGTGGCAGCAGCAGGGACCGCCGACAGGTCTGGAGCAGGCAGATCTGGAGCAGGCAGATCTGGAGCAGGCAGGTCTGGAGCAGGCAGGTCTAGAACTGCCCCTTTAAGGGCTTTAGGGACCCGGGGAATAGAGTCCCTTACGGCGCTGATCCCCTTACCGACCAGGTGTGTCGGCCGGTAGTGATAAGCCTCCAAGGGAGGCGGCTTCTCACTATGGCTGACCGGGCGGGTAGCAGCGGTGTCCTCCCAGGTGAGCGGGGAGCTCCCTCGCCCACTGGCTGACCCCTAGGCAGGGAACAGAAAGCAGGCTCCCAGGAAGAGCGTCGGGGCTTCTTCCTGTTGCTCTCGACTTTTCCTCCGCTTCTTCTTCTTTCGCCTCCCGGGACAGGTCGGTAGAGGTGGGGTTGCCTCCGAGAAGGTGAGCGGTTGGAGTTGCCTCTCCATGAATCCCTCGACCAGCTGCCGGAGGTTGTCGTGCATGTCGGCGATTACGTGCGCGCCCGTGAGCGGAGTCATCTCCTGAAGGAGGCAGCCGCTCTTGCTGGCTAGCTGCCATAGCCCAGGGTCCTCACGGACCTCGGGTTGAGACAGCCAATATAGCACCTCGTCCAGCAGCTTGAGGAGGTTGTCCTCAAGCTGTGGCTGTGGAGGTGTGCTCGTGAGATCCGTCATTCTGTCACGTTTGGTGGACGGGCAAACGAGGAAGTAGGCGAGAGAGCCGTAACTTCAGAAATACAGGGTTTAATTGGGGCAGACAGGTGACGAACATTAAACAATACAATGACGGATCTGGGGAATACTGACTGAGACATGGACTAAATACACAGGACAAGTCAAAAGGAACAGGAAACAGGTGATGACAATCAGGAATTAACACGAGGTAACAAGGTGGGCGTGGAACACACGAGGATCGGACGGAGCTGGGCGTGACAGGATGAATGTAAGCTAGCGCATACACATCCAGCGCGGGTCCATCTCCAGCCACGTGTTGTTAATAGAAAGCATTTAACCAGCAAACATTTAGGAGGAATAGCCTTTAATTAAGTCCGACTGTAGCTGAAAGGCGAAATGAGCGAGTCCCGCAGCTCTAATACATGCGACCGGCCTATTCGAACAACGCGGGTGAAATGATAGGCCGAAGTGGTCAGTACTTGGCGCATGCGCACTGAGACTCACATAGACACATATTTCAAAATGGCAACACCAACGGGGCGCCTCCGAAAATGTTACTGTCACTACCGAGAAGGGTCTGGCTGCAGACCTCCACCAGGAGGCTCTCCACTAGAGGGACGTAAACACATGACCTCCACAAGCGAATCCGGACATGACGTTATGCAAACATGCCATGGAGGTGGTACCGGATATCACATAATCGTCACACACAGCCTGGACTAATTCGACCGAATAGAAATCGAGTCTTTTAATACTTATTATTTTGGGGATCGATTTAAATTATATTATTAACATTGGAAACGGGCATTAATAATGTATTTTAATTCTACAAGAAGTGACGTTAATAGCATATGTTAATTTTATTATTTCGGTACGTGTGAAATTCTCACTTTAATATGGAGCCCCCGAAGTCCCATAGGGTGATTTTTTTAAAATCGTGTGCGCACAAGTAATTTACTCTGTGATTGAGGCCGAAAGTAATATATGAACACTATGTCTACCAAAATTATGTCTCAGCGTCTAAGCAAATCGAACTGGAGAGACATTCATTTACAGTCAACAAGTAACACCATGAACTCATTTTTCATTTTTTTAATGCTGCAAACTGTTTATTTGGCATTAAGGCTGAATTATACAGTCCGTGTGTATGGTTGCGACAGAGGTGAAGCGACATGAATTCATGCGACATGACAATACTTTTTATTCGGTCATTATCGGTAATCATAATAATACACTATGATAAACAGGTACAGTAAATACAATAAATAGGTGTCAGTAATATCAAAAAATGGTAGTTGAATTCGGTGAGGTGAACAAATCAGCAAACCGATTAAAGTAGCAAAGATAATCTGTCTTAACGCAACCGAACAAAACATCAGTGTCAAATATTAGTATGCATAACCCTATATTCTGTCAATTTGCGAATCATATTCAAATAATCAAAAATACTACATAATAGATTATATAACTTGGTCACAATTTACTGCACGCAGGCTATATTTTGTGCATCTTTAATATTGTTGACACTCATGTTTGGTTCGGTTGCATCAAGATATACTATGTTTGCCTCCAGCTCCTCTGGGGGAATCCTGAGGCGTTCCCAGGCCAGCCGAGAGACATAGTCCCTCCAGCGTGTCCTGGGTCTTCCCCGGGGCCTCCTCCCAGTGGGACATGCCCGGAACACCTCACCAGGTAGGCGTCCAGAAGGCATCCTAAGCAGATGCCCGAGCCACCTCATCTGGCTCCTCTCAATGCGGAGGAGCAGCGGCTGTACTCTGAGTCCCTCCCGAATGACCGAGCTCCTCACCCTATCTCTAAGGGAGAGCACAGCCACTCTGCGAAGAAAACTCATTTCGCCCGCTTGTACTCGTGATCTCGTTCTTTTGGTCACTACCCACAGCTCGTGACCATAGGTGAGGGTAGATCGACTGGTAAATCGAGAGCTTTGCCTTTTGGCTCAGCTCTTTCTTCACCATGACAGACCGATGCAGCACCTGCATCACTGCTGACGCTGCACCGATCCGCCTGTCGATCTCCCGCTCCATCCTTCCCTCACTCATAAACAAGACCCCGAGATACTTAAACTCCTCCACTTGGGGAAGGACCTCCTCCCCGACCCAGAGAGAGCACTCCACCCTTTTATGGCTGAGGACCATGGTCTCGGATTTGGAGGTGCTGATTTTCATTCCAGCTGCTTCACACTCAGCTGTGAACTGTTCCAGTGAGAGCTGAAGGTCACAGTCTGATGAGGCTAACAGAACCACATCATCTGCAAAAAGCAGAGACCTAATCCTGAGGTCACCAAACCGGACACCCTCAACGCCCTGGCTGTGCCTAGAAATTCTGTCCATAAAGGTTATGAACAGAATCGGTGTTAAAGGGCAGCCCTGGCGGAATCCAACCCTCACCGGGAACGAGTCCGACTTACTGCCGGCAATGCAGACCAAGCTCTGACAACGGTTGTACAGGGACCGAACAGCCCTTATAAGGCAGTCTGGCACCCCATACTCCCGGAGCACTCCCCACAGGACTCCCCGAGGGACGCGGTCAAATACCTCATGTAGACTGGTT